GTTAGGGGGTGGACAGGATTTAGAGGGAGAGAGAGAGAGAGAGAGAGAGAGATCTGGGGGGGGGTTCTGTGAGAAGAATTACTGAACACAAAAGGCACGTCATCAAGACTGAATAGGCAGTGACCTCACGTACAATCCGATGGATGGTAATGACATTGCACTGGCTTTAACCTCAGTGGACATGAGTCTGATGGGGGACGGGGTGGGGGACGGGGGTCTAATATCAGCTGGTGTCCATGTGGACCCTGAGATCTGATATGCTCATAGATAAACCAGGGGGGAAATAAATGAACTTTTCAGTTTTTAATCAGAGTCACTCTTTTTGGGTTATTTTGTTATTAACCAAGTGCAATGATTTTTGACTGTTGTTATCTACTGCTAAAACTAAAGCAGTGGTCCCCAACTTATGGGCCGTGGACCAGTACTGGTCCATGGGTCAGTTGGTACCAGGCCGTACAGAAAGAATGTGTAACTTTTGTTATTTCCGATTTATTTACTATCTTTTTCTGAACGATGTTTTGTACACAATCCTGCTAAATTGAAACCCCTCAGCTAGCAAAATGAACAAAAAACAAACGCAGCGTAAAAGAGCCAGTAGATACGGTCCACCTCTGCCCCCTACTGCAGCAGTACCCGTTTTCATTCGGCCCTTACGAATTGCATGGGGTCAAATGTGTCCCTCACATTATTCGGCAGGTCAGACTTTTCTTTTTTTCCCCTAATGAGAGGAATTTCATTCAAACTTTTCCACATGTTCCCAACTGTGAATGAAAATAAATAAGAAAAGGAAAAAAGGAAATCCGCCAAAGAACATTTAAAAAAATACAAATTTACGAACAACTGTGTCTAAGAAATTTGTGTCGCCATCTGGTTGCCAAGGCAGGAGACAGGAAGTAGCTCAGTAATTCCATATGAATTTAATTATTGCACCAGATTTCTATTGGTGGCTCGTCTGTCAGAGCCAATCATTTTTATTTTATTAGAGAAAACCAAATTATTGTGTTAGTCTAAGTAAAGGCAGACTTTCTGAGCACATGTCAACATGGTATCATGACTGAAATGTAATAACGCACATAATAAAAGCAAGTATCAATTTACAGTACTACTGCATGTGAGTACAATGGGTTAGTGCCTATAAAGTACTTCTTCTTCTTCTTTTCTATTTTACTTCTAAAACCATCGCACCTTTCTGTCTACTTTCATATGTGAAAATAAAACCTGTGGTGTAGTGGTGAAAGGATCGGGCCTGTGGTCGGGGACTGATAGTTCGAATACCGGTGTGTTGAGCAAAAAAAAACAAAAACTTTCCAGGTGTATGTATGTAAAACCTTTTTTCTTCTTTGAAAAACTATAAATCTGCTTTTTTGGTATTAATGTAAAAATAATAAAATCTAATCTAATCTCAACCTGAATTTAATCAATTTTTTTTCAAAATAATCGTGGTCTCCCAGGGGTTTGCACACCCCCACTTGAGAACCCCGTAGGAGAGCTCCTGAGTCTTTGCGTGTGTCTGACTTGAATTGTTCAGCTGTGTGTGTGAATGAAGATCAGATTTGTATAAAAGTGTTTTCACTGAACTACTTGGCCCGAAAACACAACCGTGTGATTTCTCCTTGAAAAAGTCATCAATCGTTCAACAGCTCTGACAGCGCCTCCTCTCACTGCTAGAGTGAGTGTTATAATCACACACACACACACACACACACACACACACAGGCATATACAGAGGGAGATGTGTATGAGGTAACCATTGTTTCCATAAGCTAATCCACTTGAGCAGAGGAAGCAGTCGTTGGCCCGTGTGTCAACGGTGACAAATCCTTTGAAAATTCAGGCTGTTGCGCAATTTCTCTCCGCTACGAATGACAGGGAGAACGATACTTTTTCCTCTCAATTTAACGAGCTGTCGCTCAGCAAAATCCTACAGTCTACATTAATGCAAACCACACTGAAAGTAGAGCTGGTTTTCAAGTACGTATCAAAGGCCTGGAAGCAATAATTAAGGCCTTGAATGCCGTGTGTGCCTCCCACACCAGCGACAGGCCTGAGCCTGGGAGACCTGGCACCGAGTCCCAGCGTGAGTCACTAATGTTATATTTACCATCATGGATAATGGATTAGCTGTGGGACAAATTCTGTTTAAGGAAAACTTTTGATACTTTTTCTCTGGTGACAAATTATTGTCAGTTGAGAAAAAAAAAGTGTCCAGACGTGAACTGAGTTTTTCCTCGGCGTTCACGTCTGATTGTCAGTGGCTGTTAGAAAGTGTTAGTTTGCACAAAAAATATCAAGTCAGCAAGTGATACGCAACATGAAGAAGTGTCATACTACTGTTGATGTTTACTTCCTTGGTGTCACATGTCTCCGTTTCCTCTTTTACTTTGTGTTCGGACAGATCACCGCAACACATTTTTATAGGGCAAATATTAAATGCTGCGTTCATACAAAGACTATTTCTAATATTTTATGTTGATGATTTTACACACATTTATGTGCCTTTACCTTTAATTGTTAATGAGTCACTTCATGCTCCGTCCCACTGGGGAAGACATGAGGACAACATGTAACCTCTAAATCAATTTTGCATAT